TGTGTCCCGAATGACACTGATGTCCAGTCCAGCGATCAGTCCAGACCTTCAGAACCAGCACAGGACTCCTGACCTGCCTCAGCTCATTACACAAATGAATGAATAATCTGCAGAGAACAGAAATCCATCGGAAAGAGACGGGCAGTCTGGAGGAAAAATGCATTTTCCCAAATAACCCACGCAATGCATCCTGGCCCACTTTTCGTTGCACAAAACACTAAAAAGACATTATTCATGACTTTTACAATAGCCAGCCTCATATTTAGGCCTGTGAGGAACATTAGAGCGTGTGAGGCTACGATTATCCGGAGCCTCAGCACTCACGATTATTAATTCATCACGCTGCTTCAGAACACAAATGCATTGTATTGTCTCATTCAGCATCTTATTTTACCCATAAATCAGCCAAATGGGATGCGTTCTAATGACAGAGCCATGTTAATATCAAAGCGAATAGGCTCTGGGGTGCAGACGGGAGCACGGTGTGGAAACTCAATCACAAGTCCCTTCAATCACGGAACGGGAAACAGGGAACCTTTGAATATTTTTACCTGCAAGTATTAAAATTATACAATTTTAATAGCTATTTAACATGTAGTTGCTTTTTTAGCCGCATGCTTTGGCTGGAAAAAAGGGTTCAGGCAGGCAGGTAAAGCGGGAACTCTCTTGGCAGTTATGAGCAGGACAAGCTCTTTCCCTCGGGAACTTCTTCCTGATCTGTTCTGCTCGCAGTCACTGACTTGTGCATTTCTGCTTGGCTTTGTCTCGTTCCCTCTGCTGCTGGTAAACAAGCGGATCCCCGAGCCGAGATCGCCTGAGGCTCTTCACATTCTCCTAAATATCTATTCGACCGCCGCAGAAACACGGACGCACCTGAGAGGAGGATTTAAGAAAGCAAACATCTCCTCTGTTCTGCTGTGACAGGCAGACGGGTGTCTGTCATTACAGTGTGGGATACATAGAACTAGAGACAATATAACACTGTCTCGACGTTATTTCTCAGTATGTGCATCTGCGAGCACGATAACGTGTTTCATACAGATTCTAGACTATATATGTTTTGCCATTGAGATGAATAGGAAGAAATGTCCCAGTTATTATATAAACCCTATTTCAAATTAGAATTAGCTTTATATTTTCTGCTTTCATTTTAATTTGTGTTAAAGTTTTAGTAATTGTGTTTTGTCTTTTTTATTTATTTATTTTTGTCTTTTTTTCATGTAGTTTAGTTAGTTTAGTACTTAAAAATAAGTTTAAGTTTGTTTTTTCATATTTTATTTTATTTAAGTTACTGTTTGTTTCATTTCATATGTATTATTATTATTATTATTATTATTATTGATGTTCTTCTTCTTCTTCTTCTTCTTCTCTTTGTCTTCTTCTTATTATTATTATTGATGTTATTATTATAGTTTTTTGTTGATGATATCAACCCTGACACTTTGAGAAGCTGATATTACTGTATATTCTTGAATCCTGTGTTTGACATGCTAAACTTCATCTAAAACTATTTGAAGAGCATTTGCTGATTATTGCGTGTGTAATACACATGCAGCTTTTAGAAGTTTATAAACTGATGAACTGCATGGATTCATTGTCACAGTGCAGGACCATTTAAAATGAACTAGTGAAGACAAATTAAAAATGGCATCAAAAAAAGTGTCACGGCCCCTAAAATATAAGACTTGTCTTTAATTTAAGCCCAACATATGCAAAAACACATTGTATGTACAACAAGCAACTGCACAATAAGAAAGTGTGCATCTCTGTCTATCCATGCATAATCAACTGATCAATTAAGACTTTTTGTGCAAAATCTCGTTTCATTGTATCTGTGCACTGTTAACAAAGTATGGGTATAAGATAATACTAAATGCTTCTAAAGCAGCTGGTCAGATGCTCTTGGCTGAGTGTTCGCATCTCTAACTAGCTGTTTGAGAAACACCTGCTCGGCTTAACTGAGCAGAGAGAGCGTGAGCTGACCCTCCTGATCAATAATGCATGGAGAGTGAACAGCAACATGCGAAACCTCTTAGCCACTGCAGCGGAGGAGAGCAGTGACGCCATTCAGAACACATCAGACATGATCGACACTGTCTTTGACCCACATTCATCATCACATCATCACATGCAGATGAAGGCAGAACCTGCATTCCAGTGCCTTTAGAAAGAAAGCATGCATTTATGATCATCCATGTTTCCTATATGTCATTTAAGTTGTTTACCTTTAACCCAAATCAAACGCCTCTGACCGTTAACCTGCCCCTGAGCACTAATATATTCATCAAAGAGCACTTCATTAAATTTCTAATGGAACTTCACTGCCCATGCTCAACCATGAAGCTGAGAAAAAAAAGCTTCATAAGGGTAATTGCATGAACTCAACATCATATCAACCCCTAATCCACACTCCCATGAGCCTTTGCTGCACTTTACTATGTTGATGTTACCTATATGTATGGACATCAATGCAGTGCATTTATGATTGAAAATGCTCATTGATTGTAATTTCCCAAACGCTTGGGATTAATCTGCGCGCCAGAAAGCAGCACTCCACAGTTTATGTTGCTTGATTAATTTTACACTCCCTGTAGTAGTTACTGGACTCGCTTCTTTGGGGAAAATGCAGCAGTTTTTATAGTGTTTTCTGTCATTTGTCGCCCATAGAGAGACAATGCTGTAATATAGAAAATGATCATGAAAACTTACAGAATCAGCTATTATTCACGGCTGAGCAATATCGGACAAAGCATGCCATTAAAAAGAGGCTGAGGGAAATGTTGTCATTTCGGTGACTGCTTCTTTTTCTTCATATAATTACTGAAATTAAGAAAGATGCATGATTCACTGAGCACCTTTGGAAAGAACAGAAGAGCTCTAATCTGCTTCTCCGGAGAGAGAGAGAGAGAAGTGTATGAACTTGTCAAGACACTTACAGGAGAATGTGGAGCTGCTTGAAATCTGCCACAGATCATCTCCTCACGGTTACAGGACTGTTCCTGACAGGGAGGTTTACACAGAGCAACGCCTGGCCTCAGGCAAATCCTAGAAATATTATCTGATTATTTAACTCTCACATTCTGATTGGGGTCTGAAAGACACAAGAGCCATGTATGAGCGTGAACAATACTTTTCTCTATTTGAGAACTGATTATGAATTAAATATACATTTGACAACGCACTTTGCTCTTTAGGTATCAGAGATCCCATATATAAAACAATATCAATAAATGCATTTAATCTGCATTCTCTGCAAAGGAGTGACACACTGCTAACTGGTTTGTTTAGTTTCGAGGTTGTTGTTGTTGTTGTTTGTTTGTTTGCTGGGGTCAGAATGACAACATTACTGGATGACAATCATCATAAATAATAATGCATGAGTATTACTGACTGCTGTATTTCGAGTCAGAGGAACATTTCAAAAGAATTTGAAAGGAAATAAATTGTACATTTTGAGAATCTGTTAATATATCTAATCATATATAATTAATTACGACCTCCCACATACAAATAATGTCTCTCTCTCTCTCTCTCTCTCTCTCTCTCTCTCTCTCTCTCGCTCTCTTTTCTTCTTTTTCAGTGAAGGAATAGTTTCTGTAAAGATGCAAATTTCAGAGCAACTGATAATCAGCATCATGTGCTAATCACAGTGTTGCTCCTCATGTGAATGTGCTCAAATGAAATCATTTTCTTCAGTAATTGTATATGTTATATGTATGGACATCAATGCAGTGCATTTATGATTGAAAATGCTCATTGATTGTAATTTCCCAAACGCTTGGGATTAATCTGCGCGCCAGAAAGCAGCACTCCACAGTTTATGTTGCTTGATTAATTTTACACTCCCTGTAGTAGTTACTGGACTCGCTTCTTTGGGGAAAATGCAGCAGTTTTTATAGTGTTTTCTGTCATTTGTCGCCCATAGAGAGACAATGCTGTAATATAGTGATCATGAAAACTTACAGAATCAGCTATTATTCACGGCTGAGCAATATCGGACAAAGCATGCCATTAAAAAGAGGCTGAGGGAAATGTTGTCATTTCGGTGACTGCTTCTTTTTCTTCATATAATTACTGAAATTAAGAAAGATGCATGATTCACTGAGCACCTTTGGAAAGAACAGAAGAGCTCTAATCTGCTTCTCCGGAGAGAGAGAGAGAGAAGTGTATGAACTTGTCAAGACACTTACAGGAGAATGTGGAGCTGCTTGAAATCTGCCACAGATCATCTCCTCACGGTTACAGGACTGTTCCTGACAGGGAGGTTTACACAGAGCAACGCCTGGCCTCAGGCAAATCCTAGAAATATTATCTGATTATTTAACTCTCACATTCTGATTGGGGTCTGAAAGACACAAGAGCCATGTATGAGCGTGAACAATACTTTTCTCTATTTGAGAACTGATTATGAATTAAATATACATTTGACAACGCACTTTGCTGTTTAGGTATCAGAGATCCCATATATAAAACAATATCAATAAATGCTTTTAATCTGTATTCTCTGCAAAGGAGTGACACACTGCTAACTGGTTTGTTTAGTTTCTACAGAGAGGCTGTTGTTGTTGTTGTTTGTTTGTTTGCTGGGGTCAGAATGACAACATTACTGGATGACAATCATCATAAATAATAATGCATGAGTATTACTGACTGCTGTATTTCGAGTCAGAGGAACATTTCAAAAGAATTTGAAAGGAAATAAATTGTACATTTTGAGAATCTGTTAATATATCTAATCATATATAATTAATTACGACCTCCCACATACAAATAATGTCTCTCTCTCTCTCTCTCTCTCTCTCTCGCTCTCTTTTCTTCTTTTTCAGTGAAGGAATAGTTTCTGTAAAGATGCAAATTTCAGAGCAACTGATAATCAGCATCATGTGCTAATCACAGTGTTGCTCCTCATGTGAATGTGCTCAAATGAAATCATTTTCTTCAGTAATTGTATATGTTATTTGTCCTGATTAACTCGATTTGTAACGGTTGTAGTGGTCCTAATGGATGTGCATATGACTTATATGAGATGCATAGACCTGTGCTTCTCATGTCTCCTGAAGGAGGAGGAGGAGGAGGAGGAGGAGGAGGAAGCATGCCGTCCTGTGATTGATTTGCGCTTGGTTTGTCGGAGACAACAAAAGGATGCCATGTCCTCTCAAGGTGTAATCCATGCAGTTTATAATGCTGATGAGACGTACCTCTAGATGCATGCACGACAGGGATCCTGTTATCCGATCAGATACTTGGCTAAACTTGTCTCATTGTTCAGAGCTATTCTTAAATCATGTTTAAGTGTCTCGGACCGCATTGCATTCGTTTTGAACGTATCTCCATATTAAATACAGCCCGTCACATCTGATCCATCTGTCCGAAAGAGCCGAGCTTCGTTACATCTTTAACGAAAAACAAGAGCACGAACTCCAGCGCAGACTTCATCATCCTCTAAAAGCTTATACTAGTGCGTCTCAATATTTAATAGGGACCCAAATAACACCAGAAAAAAAATAAAAAAAAGATAATGTAAATGTATACAGAAAGCTTGCCCATCAAACTTCACGGATGCATTACTTGTTTCCACTGCAGTCTAGTGTGAGTGAGGAGGAATCAATCATAGAGCTGATGTTACTTGAGATAAAATGTCACGGGTTATTTTCAGGGAGAAAGGAACGAGAAAAGGACTCATTTAGCTCCGAGCGCTCCGCGTTTGAGCCTGATACGGCGAGAACTATACTGTACAAGACACGCATTATCATGACAATTAACTGATATCCTCTTAAATAATGTGCACTTTATTATTTGCCTTGATTAATCGCTTTTCCCATCAGAAAATCACCGTCACTTAGTAAACGCGTGACCTCGCGTCTATTAACACACACACGCCGACATTTGCTCGCTTATTGTCTGACTAATTTAATTTCACAGAACACTTATTTTCCAAACTCAAGCGCATGCCAATGGAGAGGGAAAGAGGGGGAAAAACTTGCCTGATAAAAGTCTAACTCAATTTGAGGACAAGTACCTTCATCTGTAAATGAAAGCAATTATGCGGCCCATATGATATTACGCTGGCCGGTCTCCGGATAGTCATCAATCACCCGCAATCGAGCTGTCACTGCGGGCAGACCCGTCTCGAGCAGGCAGCTCTCCAGCTGGGGAAAAGAGGAGTACATCATCATTAATTTGACTGTGACCCCGGGGCTTCTCACATGTCTGAACCCACAGTCAGCAACACACCTTCAGCTCTTCATCTCAATGAACCAAATCAAGAGCTTCACATGAAGACACTCACAGACCTCCATGTGTCGATAGATAGATAGATAGATAGATAGATAGATAGATAGATAGATAGATAGATAGATAGATAGATAGATAGATAGATAGATAGATAGGTGTTTGTTATTACATGAAACACTTTTTTAATCTCTCAAAACAGTGTATAGTAACTATTATTTCAGTGATAAATAGACAAATCATGAAGTATACAGACGCTTAAGATATTGCAGTTTCAGGCTTTTATTTTTAGGAAACTAAATGCATGTTAATTCGAGTTAATATCTCATTTGTGCTAATCCACGATTGCAGCTGATTGTGTACTAGATATGATTTCTGATATCTAAATAAAAATGGGTACTTTCTTTCTTTTTATTTTTTTTTCAAGGTAAAAGGTATAGGTGTTTGTTAATACAGGCACACGGGAGCCCGTACACCGGCGGCCAGGGCTACGGGAACTATGTTACCTACGGCGCTGACGCGTCCGCTTTCTACTCTTTGGTGAGTTTAGAACATGCGCGATTATAAATGATAATAATGGCATGCGTTCTAGCAGTGAGTCATTGTGTTTAGATCACCAGAACTCTATATGCATTTCTATATCTGAGAAAAAAATAAAGTTTATAAAATAAGAACATTAACGAACCTTATATTACTTTATCTACACTCTTAAAAATAAAGGTTATTTATTGGCATTGATATAGTTCCATGAAGAACCTTGAACATCCATGCAACCTTTCTAATGCAGAAAAGGTTATTTATAGTGGATTTTTTTTTATGTTCTTCAAAACGGTTCGTTTAAGAACTTTTCACTGAAGCACCAAAGTATGGCATCACTGCAAGAACACCCTTTTGGAACCTTTATTTTTAAGAATGTAGTATGCATTTGAGCAGAGGTTCATGGATTGTTTTCTATAGTCTATGGGCTCCGTGTTTAGGATAAGCATCATGTTTTGCTCATTGCCATGGTTATATCAACAAGCGCGGTGAATGTAAAGTTTAATTGCTGACAGCTCTTGTATTTATTTCCAGGGAACGTTTGATGCCAAAGATGGAAGTGCGTCTGCGCATGCGGGTATAACACAGGCTGCCGCATATTACCCTTATGATCCCACCCTGGGACAGTACCAGTATGACAGGTATTGAATAGCGGCCTTCATTAGGAGTCTTCTGATTGACAGTTAACATGACTCGGTTCATTTGGATCAATTTCACAGGCAGCGCTCAACATATTGATGGAATAATTACCGCAATCATTTGAAAGCTTTTTTTTTCCACTAAGGAAATTAAAGCAATAACAGAACTTCCCTTGAATGTCAGGTCACTGTCTTTGATGTATATTTTATGTAATATCATGTTTGGCCTTCAGGGTTTCCCCTGAAGTGCTTTAATGGACCGACACTCGGCCGGTGCACTCGATCAAGCAATTTGTTCGCTCTGTAAAAAAAAGAGAAATGCGAGGAAGGCTATAGGCCTTAAGGAAATAAAAGTCTTTGCATTTCTGTGTTGCACTGCAAAACTTTCCCCACCACACCTTCTGTTCATGCCACAGGTACGGATCTATGGAGGGAGGAAGCAGAAGGAAGAACGCCACGCGTGAGACCACGAGCACATTAAAAGCGTGGCTGCAGGAGCACAGGAAGAACCCCTATCCCACCAAAGGCGAGAAGATCATGCTGGCCATCATCACCAAGATGACCCTCACGCAGGTGTCCACCTGGTTCGCCAACGCCAGAAGAAGACTCAAGAAGGAGAACAAGATGACATGGCCACCGAGAAGCAAGGGCTCCGACGATAAGAAGTACGATGAGGATGATGAGGATGAGGAAGGGTCGCAAGAAGATCAAATCAAAAGTGAAACCAATGATGACGGTCAGCTCCATTCCGTTCTTCACGAATCCTCTCCTATATCAATGTGTTATTATTAGGCCTATTTATAAAACATATTTTATATTTTTATTTAAAAAATAAATAAATTACACTCCAGCACTGAGCTATCTGAGTTTTCAAGAATGTTCCTGAAAAGCGCAAACTTGTATAGGTCTGGTGAAAGGCTCACCAAGGCAGTTGTCATTGCTAACTATTATATTGCTAATAATTTTTTTGTACAATAACTTACTATTTGTGACCCTGGAGCACAAAAGCAGTGTTGAGTCGCTGGGGGATATTTGTAGCAATAGCCAACAATACATTGTATGGGTCACAATTATACATTTCTCTTTTATGCCAAAAATGTTCCATGAAGATATTTTGTAAATCTTCTACCGTGAATATATCAAAACTTAATTTTTGATTATTAATATGCATTGCTAAGAACTTCATTTGGACAACTTTAAAGATGATTTTTGTTGCACCCTCAGATTCCAGATTTTCAAATAGTTGTATCTCGACCAAATATTGTCCTATCATAACAAACCATACATCAATGAAACGCTTATCTATTCAGCTTATTTATAAATCTCAATTTAAAAAAAGACCCTTATGACTTGTTTTGTGGTCCAGGGTCACATTTGTGATGCGTTTTTTAATGTAGGTATATTTAGTTATTTTAATAAAAACGTTAGTTTCGCGTGCTCAATAATTCTCAGGCTTGTATATGTTGTTCTCTCTCGCTCTCCACTTACTCCATCGTTATTTCTGAACAGAGAGCAAAAGTCGAGAGGACAAGGAGCTCCAGCTGAGTGACTTGGACGACTTTGACACCATCGAGTCTGAGAGCTCCGAGTGTGAGCTCAAGCACCGCTTCCACATGAACGCACACATGGCGACCACCGACGACCGCTTCAAAGAAGCGCCTCCGAAGCTCTCCATCCCCGGTCTGCTCGAAGCCAAAAGCGGCCTGAAGAGCACCGCGGAAGACTGCGAGCACAGCAAAGCGTGCTTCCAGCAGCAGGGCCTTGCGTTACTAGACAGCAAACCGCGCATCTGGTCTCTGGCCCAGACCGCGACAGAGTACTCCTCGTGTATGCTTCGGTGCCAGCCATCGCCCCCCGCCTCCTCACCTGTCAGCGGCCTGGAGAGACAGCAGGACTCACCTGTCACGACTCTCAGAAACTGGGTAGATGGTGTTTTTCACGACCCCTTGTTTAGACACAGCTCCTTAAACCAAGCACACACGAACACTACGGTTTCTTGGACCACCTCGACCAAAGGGTCGATCTTAGAGACCGGAGCGCTTGGACAGCAAGAGGCCAGCAAGGACAGTATGACATTTCCAAAGGGGGTGAATAAAATATTCTGCTCCTAGCACACCACAAAGACTGTTTGGAATAGCTGTTTACGCTTTCAGTTCACAAACTAATGCCAGACTGTGAATAGATGGGCCCAAAAATACGTTTTGTTACATAAAACCATGAGGAAATGTGTGTGTTTATTGCTGTGTTGACATCTCACTGGCGAGGGGTTGGTTTATATATATATTTATTGGTTTGGCTGACGCACGTTCAGATTGTGTAAATTAACTGGAAGTTTATGTTCTGAAAGACTGGGGGAAAAAAAGGTTTACAGGCTAGTTTCGTTCCGGCTTTTATCGTTTCTTTGGCATGCATATGTTGATCATTCTTTTAGACGAACTCGGACCTTGTCGCAACGACTCACACGTGTCACTGCTACGAAAGCATCGCACAAATGCACAGATCTCCTCGAAACGGGGAATGTTCAAATCTGCTCACTATAATAAACGGTGGATTGTTCTCAGCTTGTGTTCTGTGTATCGATCAGAGTCGCTGTCCCTGGTGCTGAACACACGCGATGAGATTCACCTGCTGGCTTCAATAAATGCATCTTATTCGATTGTATGTATTGTTTTTATTATTTTTGTCACTGAAAAGTTGTGCTACATTTTATCCTGTAATTTAACATTTGCATCATAAAATATAGGCATACAACTACATATGCATACATTTTCGGTATAAAAAAAAACAAAAAGAAAAAAGAAACATTGCATTTAAAAATGTAATTGTAACTTAAATGTTAAATTTGATATCATTAGGCCAAAGTAATACGAATGGGCCGACTGTCCACTCTAAATAATGTATACGATGTTCTCAGCAGTGATTGTTTCGTGTTCACTGTGTTTGGCTTTGTAATAATCCCCCGATAACTGTTTATCATTCTCTCGCGTCCTCTGATGGGAGAGATGAGGCCCTCAGGAGCCATAAGACAGCGCTGGATGAGCCCCATTAACCCGCCATAACCAGCCTGCAATTGGGATGTTTTCAGTCATCACTCACTTCACTCTATCGATTTCTGCTCTCTCTTTCTCTGCCTCTGATAATATCATCGAAGCGCCAAATCCTTCCCCCTGACCAGCACTTGAGCTCTGCAGACAGGCTGTTTATATGGCAGAAGGAGAGATCATTCGAGATGTTCATCTTGACACGGACCCCTCAGTTTCTGGAGCTCCTCTGCACTCGGAGGCTTTTTCACCGGGGCGCGTCTCTAAGTGAAAAGGGCAAGAGAATTAGTTGGTGCAGATGAAAGGGCAAAAACACGCAGTCAAAGGCAGGAGTTGACAGTGATGGTGAAAGTGTGGCCCCTGGAGGACTGGGGTCCGCTGAGAGGGCCCTCGCTGATGAATTTCAATGTGAAAGCCAAACGATTGAGACCTTCTCCTGAACGATCCCCTGCACAGAGACATTTGGAAAAACGCGTTTTGTCCGTGAAACGCAGTGCACAACAAACGGCGCTGGTCATGCTGTATTTCGTTGTCTAAAATTAAAGAGCATTCTTTTTCACTCAAAAAAATAAAAGGTAACATAAAATCTAAAGCGCCAGAATTATTAATGCTTAATTTGTTATTTTACACATACATTGTATAATAATCATAAATGATAATAGTAGTAGTAGTAGTAGTAGTAGAAATTATAAATATAAAAAAATGACTAATACTAATAATACTAATATTAATGATGACTACTACTAAGAATAAATACTTTAAAATTATATTACATTAAGAGATTTTCCTAAAATGAAAACAATTTAAAATTGCAGAGCAGATCGCAAAGAAATTTGAAGAACCGAATAAAATGCCATTGCATAGAATAATAAAATATTTTGCGTATTGCATAAAATAATATATAGTTACTGTTCCAAGAAAGTTTCCTCTCATTAAACAGGGTTTGGAGAGGCAGAGAGAGGGGGAGGAGATGTGATGGTTTGACTTACTCGTTCAGGCGTGCCACACACACACACACTCTCACACACACACACACACACACAC